GCAATTTTGTAGTAGATCAGGAAGCCTGATTCTATTTTTGCTGTGACGCAGATTTTTTTAAGTGACCCAAGGAAGTGTCAACCACCCTCTTGATACTGCACTTTATCCTCACAGAGAAAGAGTATTTCCTGCTGCAGAACTGTGTTACCTCACTGTTTGAAAAGGTCTTGACAATCCTGAGCTAGAAGGGCAAAGCTAAAGTATCTTTATTGCTAAAGAAGAAGGAAGTAGCAATGAGAACTGAAGCTCAGCCTGGGACAGTCCTGCCCTATATATGTTCTCTTTGGTGGCTCTTTTGTTCTGGGAAGTACACATGCATCAATTCAGATTTGTCATTTAGATACCAAGAGAAAGAGTGATTTTGGAAAAAAATTTTTTTCACTGTTAGAGACAGAACAGCATTTTGGCTTTAGATAACCTGAACTACATAAAAATCATATCCCTGACAATCATGTGTGAGACCACTGATGTGACCAAAATTTTCAAGATGTTAAAATTAAGTTATCTAGTTAACCCTGAGTACCTGCAGAGAAAGCTGTCAAACTTTACCAGGGTACAGAAAGGCCTAATTTCAGGAAGAGCTGCACTAACACTCCAAACTGTTCACTTTTGCCCTCAGTTAGTTCAGTAAGAGTCCAGTTCACTTAGCTCTGTATTAACCTCTGAAATCACAGCTAAAAGTAAGTCAGGATTTGCTGAGTATGAAAGCTGGAGATGGGCTGCAACAGGTCCAGAAATTTCTGTTTGTAGCTCTCACTGCTCCTGGGTCACATGTAACTGAACCAACATAAAGTTTAGCCTAAAGATAATGCTTTAACTCCCATCCTCAAATAAACTACCCCCACTAATTTATAGCAGTATTAAACATGACCTACACAAAATAAAAAAAAACCAATTCACTCTATGCTAACCATTGTGAAGGACCCTGTATCAATGAGGTAGCTCTGCTTAGACCTTCCCTTTAATGAGGTCCCTGAAGAAAGAACCAAGGTTTTCAAGTTAAAAAGGAAGATGATACCACAGCAACATCCAGAAAACCTAATTTTAATTAGATAAAATTCATATTGATTATGCTAGAACAAACTGTACAACTTACCTCATGCCCATTGTGTCATTAGATCTGGAAACTATTCCCTGGGCTTGTTTTCAGGTAATTAGGTGACTTCCTGGGCTGCAGTAAACTTTACCCAGTGCCTGACAGACCCTAGGAATGTGCTCTTCTATCACCTTTAAAGCCTGGCTTTCTGCTCATTCAGCTATCTTCACTCTCTGCTTGTCTCTGCTCTTCAGAAAAAGGCTCATTTTTCCTCCTTTTAGGAGAGTCCTGGCACTCAACTCACGTTATTTAAAGAAATTTTGCATAAAATCAGGAACAAACATATCAGGCACACTTTTTACATTGTCAAGACAAGGGTAAAGATGTAGGAGAGATTTGCATATTTCACCTTGAATGCTGACATAAAAAACCCCAAACCCAAACCAAGGTACAGTGAACACATCATAAGCTAAAGTTTAAATATCTCACATAAGCCTGAGAGATTGCACATTTGGTTTGTTTTCATGTTATGGTCAGGAGAACAGCACTGAACTTAAACTGCTTTTATATTTCACTTGAACAGCTGAAGGTAGAAATAAAAACTAACCTAACTTTTCGTAATGGATGCTATAAACAAGGCTATAAAAGTCAGAAAACAGTTGCTCAGGTATTGAATTATTGATAATAGGAAATAATAATCTTGAAGAAAGGAATTCTCTTTCCATGCCTAAGACTCCTGCATGATGTAACTGTGAGAAAGACAAGAAGGAGGTGCAAACAGGATACTCACTCTGTAACCTCAGGATGAATACCAGTGCAAGTGATGAAAAGGCCAAGGCTGAAGGAGTTATAAGAGTTACTTGGAGGATACTCCATCTCCTAAAGAAATCATTCCCAGTTTCCAGACCAGAACCGAAAAATTTCATATTTGAAAGGGTAAACCCCTCATAGCAGTGGCAGATTTTCCTATTAGTGCTAACGAAGTAAATGACAATTTTTCTTGTCCTTGATTTTTTACTGTCCTCTAAATACACTCTTCCTGCTCCCTGACAGTTCTTAAGCTGCCCCACAGTCACTCACTTACAATGACTTACTTTTTGCTGTGAGCAAATCAGAACTGGTGTGTTAAAAAAAAAAAAAAAAAGGAATGTTACTTATTCTGCTTTACTTAGTTGTGCCAGTGCTTTGATGAAAAGGGAAGGAGGCAATCTGGGCAAACCAGAGCTAGAAACTTCTCATATCCTCTTAACAAGGAGCCCCATGAATGGCTTATGACACCAAAATCTCTGCATATTTTACTAAAATAAATCATAGATTGGTGTGAAGCAGTTTTATAATGTTTTGAAATTGTAATTGTTTAGACTATCCTTACTGGAAAAAATGTATTATTCTAAGTAGACCTAGTTAACAGTTTCACAGAAAGTATTTACAACCATATTACTTATCTGACAGAGTCCCTTTCTCCTGAAATATACGGATTTTGAAAACTATCGTTTTGAACGGAATAGATTAGTTTTGTATGTTGAATAATTACTATTACACAGACTGAAATAAAACGCTGAATCTTATTAACAAAGTGACTTTCCCCACCATTCATTTAAAATCGTTTGAGGTGATCAAAACAAACTTATCAAAAGATAAGCTTTGTCAAAAGCAGTATCTTGAAATCTTGTTTCACATGAGCATTAAAAGCTCATCTTTTTGCCTCACACATGAGAGTTTTTCAGAATCTTTAGCACACTATCTCAGCTAAATCTTGACATTTTCATGAGGTGAAAAACCTGTTTCTATTTTTCATTAGTTCCAATTCTCTCACTATTAAAAGAGCAATAACACAATCTGGCAGTAAATATTAACAGCAGCAGTTGGTGCATTTTCAGCAGTTTAAATAAGGTGTTTCACCAAAGAGGAAGAAGAATCTTATCCTGAATGGTTATTCACTAAGCCATCAAATTATTCAAGGCAAAGATAAAATGTTTGAAAACAACCGCAACTTTCTATTCATTTAGCAGCTTAAATACTAAATATAGCCTTACACTTGTTGTAAGCATTTATGAGAAGTTTTGCCTTAATTCCTTCTCTTGACAATTTGAGATAAAGAGACAGAAGTGCAAAGGGAACAAGATTATTGTTGTTGTATTCAGCTGCAGCACTGGCAAAGGAGTGGCTTCCCACCAATACTGAGACTTCTGGGAAAAAACTGGCCAAAACACTAAGGACTGCAATTAGAGAATGATAAAAACAGAACATATGAGTGAAAGAAGATAAGGGACAGAAGTAATACAAATAATGCACAATAATATTTAGGTAGACCTATGCAGAAGAACCTGATATAAATACAAAGTAAGGGATTGAAATAAAAAATTTTTAGCACAGCTACTGAGAAATGCTGATTTTTCAGAAGGCAATACTCAATCATTATTCACAGCCTCTATGGCATTTGCTCATGTCTGGAAAGAACTGAATTTACAAATGACATTTGCATTTCTTAACTCTGGAACTTTGATTTTAAAGTACCGCACCAATACTACCTAAGAAAAAAATCAACCAGGTCCAACTAAAAGAAAACTCATGCAAGTCAAATTTATATCTGTCAACTACTCATCCCTCATACTGGCCAAACCAAAGTTCTGGTTTCTGAAAAGTTTGATAGATACTTCGCTATGTATTTTTAGCAAAAAAAGGATTAAAATTCCCTTAGAATATTAACACCCTCAAATAAAATTAAATGTATTCAGTTATATGTTTAACATCAATGAGAAATTCCATTATACAGAAGATCATCTAAGAGATAAAAAGCTACATATGCAAATAACCAGTTAGACAAGAATTAGTCTATACCTTTCCAAATATTTGGGATTACTGTAATTTTGACTAGCTTCTCACAATACCCATCTCACTGATCAATATTCTAAAACTTATCAAATCTTGTTTTTAGGATTAGTGTGGCTTCATTCTGCATGCTGTCATCAAAGTAAAGATTGGATCTTTACCCCAAGGTGTTTGTAATTCAACAGGTGGATTTATTTCTAGTACTGTTTACACTGAACAGCTCTGCCATGAATAAGATGTCTGAATTTTGCAGATAACATATCGTAAATGAGCAGAGATCAAACTGGCAAAGAAGGTAATAATGGAGAAAGTGACACAACATTAAAGAGTTGGGAAGAACTGCAATCTGTGTTAAAGCATTTTTCCTACTTATACTGTTTGATTCACTTCATACTTTGTCTTAAATGAAAACAAGACACAGTGTGTAAATAACAAACCAGTAATGCAGGCAACTTTACAAAAGCAGACAGGCAGAAAAAGAAGAGTACTTCAGGTTTAAGGCAGAAAACAGAGAAAAAAGAGAAAGAAACAGTGGTGTAAAGACCAGGAGAAAAGAATGAGAGCAGTGGGACTATAAAGGGTAGAAAACAGAAAAAGCTAATATTTAAGCAAAGGCCCATACAAGTATGGCTCATGGGGTTGGACTTTTTGATTTATTCTACTCTCACTTTTCTCTCTGGTCTATAACAGGGGGAATCAATTAAATTACTGGAATTGCTGGTAATATCCATCCAATGTGAAGAGCACAGGATTGAGCCATGAGTAGTGAAAGAAATTTGAGGCAGGGACTGAAAAGAGATAGCTGACGTTCTTTAGTATTTAGATAGTTTGCTTGAATCTAGAGAACGAGGGAAACAACTAAAAGAAGACAAAAGGTAAAGAAGACAGTCTTTCAAACTGAATAGACAAACTGTATCCAACACTTCTATAGGTGATGAAAATGCAAAGCCTGTTAATGCCCTGTTCATTTTATCCTTGGATTCGATTCATTAACAACTCTGGATTTACCTCTGGTTTTATACCATCAACCTTTTAGCAATTTATTCACTATGCAATCAGAGAGAAAAACAAGATTGTTTTTTATTCTGAACAGCTAATTCCATTGTCTGTTATTTGCTTGTTGTCACATTACCTTGCCAACAAGCCCCGACTGTGAGCTGCATGGCAATGTGGGAGGGGTGGATGGGCCAGTCGTTGGTCACCAGGTAAGGTTCATATGTGGTTCCATCCATGTACAGTGTGACAACAGGGAACTCCACATTGACAATGTAGTAATGCCACTCTTTATCACATATCTGAAAGACAGAATGCAAGAAAAATATTATTTAACACTTACGGTGACTGATTGTTATATTCCATATGCATTGTTTCAAAATTTTACTCATGGAAAAGAAATAACATTATTGTGGTTTATATATCTCTAACATTAATGAAACCTTAAAAAAATACTTGTGGTATATCTGAAGAATATATGTGATATATAGAGGCATCTTAAAATACACTCTCTGAAAATAAGGCATGGATAAAATAGAAAAATCAGACAATTTGGTATTTGCTCGGTATTTTCAATATCAGATTCTTAATGTCTATGTCTACTTTTAAGAACATAAAATTTTATGTAAGAGACACATACTTAGGATGTGTCAGCATAGTTACTGAAGATCCCTGTGAGCTTCACATTAAGTAAGAAAATATATAGCACTTAGTCACTAGATTGATGAGTTCTTATCAATGATTGCCATTATTAACTTATCACACCAGGACTGCTGCAGTGCTGCAAGGACCTCAGCCGTGCCACACAGATGGCCCAGCAGTCCCTGTGTCCAGCTCATCTGGGCAGGACACTCGCATCTTCTGCTCACTTCATCTTTTGGCCTCAAGCTCTTTCACAGATACTTGGGAAAATGAGGATACATACGGTTTCACTGACACATCAGCTTTGAAAAGCAACAGTCAGAGTTATAAAACGCTTTCAGAATTACAAGATTAGTCAAATCTCATATGAATTTCTGAGCTGGACAACCAGGGATTACTGCAAGATGGCTAAATTCACTTTTAGTTCAGAAATGTAGATCTAGATGAACCCAAGCCTCTAAAGATGAGCCTAGCGTGTAAATATCAGTGTCTGCCCAATTATCTTTTTTCCTTTGCTCTATCTTGCAGATTGAAAAGTTCAAAGGAATAAACCATATCAAACTGGGAGGATGGGTGAGCTGTTTTTAAACCAAAGCAACAGTTACCACAATGCTATTTTCAATTCTAGAGATATACTTGTTTTGATGTATTAAGAAATCAAAGTGCTTGAATGCAGATATCCTTTGCTGTTTCACAAAAGCAAGCAGAAAAGTGATGTTTAAACATAACACTTTGTCCTTGGCCAGGTTAAGTGCTATCTGCTGCGATATCTGCCCTTTGAAAGCAAAATGTTTTGTTCCAGAAGACGTTTCAACAAGCACTTAATCACTTCTATTTCAAATGGATACATTTATTACTGCAGACATCATAGCTCCACGGCAAGAGATAAATGCAGCAAGGGGCTGCTGCAGCCTTCCTTTTGTAAGCAGCAGACAGCACAAATGTTTTCTGAAGGTTAAATGAACTGAAACCAAAATTGAAAGTAAATAAATTGGAAGACTGAAAACTTTATTGAACAAACAGCAATCATGTACAGTATTCTGCAGCCCTCCCTTTCAAGGAAAAACAGCCTGCCAAGTCTCCTGACCTGATCATTAGCATGTGATGCATCACAGCCTCGTGTGCCAGACATTTTATATAAAGCAAAACAACCAATACAACTGATTTTGAGAGACCTTGCACGGCAAAAACTACAGGTATTAATATTTGACACTATTTCTGTTTTGCAACCCTAAACTGCATCACTTTTCATGCCCCAAGGGTGCCCCAGTGTGTGAGCAATCCTCCTCATATTTAATGAAAGCAAGAACATGTTAATATAGCAAACCCCAACATTTTTGGACATTTTAAACACAAAGAACATGATAATGTGTACTATGTAATTACTCCATTGACTGATCCTTAGGCAGTTTCATTTTTCAAAGACAATGTTGCCTGGAAACAGAAGATTACATAAAGTCCACAATTCAAGCCTCCAGCATTTGTGCTCAAGTTCTTCCAAGAAAAATGGATTTGTTGAATTGTGGATGTCCATATTAGACAAAGTATTTACTAACTTTATTTTTTCTGCTGCATTCCACCAAATGATCTCTCAGTATCTATACTGGGCCCCAGTGTAAAATGAAATATTCTACAAGAAAGTAAACATTTCCTTCAAAACTCTGGAATACATCCCAGTCATTCAGCAGCAGGTCATTTCAAAAGCAACAAAATAATGAAATAAATAATTGTGGTGTGTTATTTGTTTTGCTGTCATTTCAGACACTTTCTTCACCTTCTAAACATAGGAAGCCAATTTTTTCCCTGCATGTATTCCACAGTGGTAAAGAACAAAATATGAAGCAGTGAAACCATGAAAAGAAAATTAAAAAATATACTATACAGGCAAATAAATTTTAATGCTCTCAAGTAAGAACTTTATTAAAAAAATCTAATTTATAAAGCTATCTTGATGAGATAAAAAAAAATTACAGATGAGTAAGCTTGGCTTTCAAATACTGCTGGATGGTTCTAATCACTCTATCACGCCAGTGTCTGCCTCTCAAATATATTAATCAAATCACAGTGAATTAAGACTGAAGTCTTAGTGCTGATTACAAGCCATTGCATTGGAATATGCTTTTATGAAATAGATGAAAACACACCCCTATAAATCTCACATAGTAGGTGTCTCAAGTTTTTAACATCTTCTAACAAAAAAAGTCAGGGATTTTTCTGGTTTGTATTGAAAGGCTTGGGAACAGACTGAAACCAAAGGACTTTGGTCTGACAAGCACATGGTGCTTTAGCAGCAGATTTTATTGGTCTGCCAAATGTCCCATTTTTCGGCTTTGTACGGAAGGGCTTGCCATGCACACGTGGGAACATGCACTGCACAGCTCTTTAGCCTCACTCAGGTCAGCTTGGGCAGCACGGATCATTCACCTCTGGCTACATCCACAAAGACAACCTGTGCTTCCAAAGGTGTTCCAGTGCCTCAGCGAGGAGCTGTGCACACTCACCACCCTCTGACAGGCTTCCTGAAAGCCCCTTCAGTAATTTCAGCAGCCCCTGAGTCTGCCCACGCCAACAGCTCTGCATGTTCTGCCAGTGCTGCCCAGTGCACAGTGAGTGCATCCCTCTAGAGCTGGGAAAGCAGGCACTGCTTCCACCTACTGCCCTGAGGGACTGTGCTGAGCAAGTGTCCTCAGAACACACTCAAACATCCGCAACAGAAGCAGCAAGGAGAAAAGGAAAGCAAAGGAAGCTCTCCGATTACCGTAAATAGCACTACTTACTGCAGGTACAAGGCACAAACTCCTTTCTGCCTGAGTGGCCTGAACCACTTGTTCAGTTGACAAAAGTGGTCTGAAGCACTTGTTTGAAGAAAGCATCTTAATCCAGTTCTAAAGAACAGAGCATGTTCACTTCTTGATGCCTTTTGTAGCCTCTTAACACACTCCGAACCTCTCACCTCTATCCTTAAGTCATCATTTATTAGACTACTGGGCCTAGTTTAGGCCCCTTTATATGAGAAATACTCATATAAACTGGAGTGAATTCAGTGGAGAACCAAAAAAAATAGTCAGCTCCTGCCATGTGAGGAGAGGCTGAAGGAAATGGGCTTGTTCAGCCTGGAGTGGGGCAGCATTAGGGGTTCAGTCACAGCAGCCTCACAGTGCCGAGGGAGAAGTTACCAGAGGGAGGCTTTTCCAAGTGTGCAGTGACAAGGACAACCACGGACATTCACTGAAAACACAGCAGGTTCAGACTGGATATAAATTGAAATCCAGCAGGTTCAGGCTGGATATAAAGTAAGGCTTGTGGACATTCAGGCAGTGGAGCAGGCTGCCCAGAGAGGGTGTGCCTCCATCCTTGGAGATTTCTCAAGGGCTGGTCCAAGCTCACAGCTGCCCCGGCTTTGAGAAGGAGGTTGGCCCACAGACTTCCTGTGATGTCTCCTCCCAGCTAAATTACAATTCTAATTCCATAAACATCACTGTGCAGAATATTATAGAAGGGCAGCACTGTCACTCTGATGTGACTTTTTTTTTTCAAGATGGGAGATATTCAAAGCCTCTTAGCCACAGGAATAAGGTTCAAATTCATAAAATTCAGGCTTGTTATCTTGCAGGTGACTGATGTAACCACCAGGCCATGAGGTACAGCAGCAACACTACCACCATATTCCTCTGCCACATTTTGAAAAAGAAAAAACCACCCCCTCAAAAGTTCTTGAAAGGTGCAAAGATGTCTGCATGTCTGACAAGTGATGATTTTCTTACATAGACAACTCCTCTCATGACATATTTTGAGGAGGTTATGTGGACATTATTTCTACATGTACATTCCACCATGTTTTGAAAAACTGCATGCCATTTGTCATTGATGCTGACAACATGGACATTTATGAATCAGATCCTCTTATAAGGATGACAAATGGTTAAGGCTTTATTTGAATTTTGCACTCTTTTCACATAAAGATTAGAAGACGTTTGTCTTTATACCAGCTTTGATAAGAAGTAAAAGTCTAGAGAGTAAGGAATAAAATTTGTACATTCCTGCTGGACTGCACAAAGTGCACATATTGGAGGTGTTTGTAACTGCATAACATGAAGGCAAGTCCTCTTCCAAATTACCTTCATGCTTTTGGAAAACCTGTGCCTTGGTAGAGGCAGAACAGATTCTGGCTAAGTAAGGCCTCTGAAAACTTGCTATGCCCTACCCTACAGACATTGTCACTTCCTTTGTTCCACTCTTGCTTATCCAGTACCAGCTTTAAAGTACTTCTCTTCTGCTAATGCCTCAATGTTAATGTGAACTGGGAGACTCATGAGAATAAGAACAGAACTGTTTTGCAAAACAGACTTTTAAAATTCCATTTTAGAAATAAACCATTCCACAAACTAAGTTCTCTATGGAGAAAAAAAGATCCCAAAATATTGGTTTACATCAGTCACAATATTTCCACTGTAAACTTACTTCAGAAATAAAAGAGAAAATAAAATAGCCCCCCCCCCCCCAAGCAACAAGGTGAAAGCAAAACCAATTTCATTTGAAAATGCTAAAATGCTTCAATCCTAACTAGAGGGTTCTCTTCCAACTTTTCTTTCATCATGGTTTGGCTAATAGCAGCAGAGTGGGAAACACTTCAAGTTACGCTAAGATTTCTTTTCTGAAA